GGTAAGGGACAAGTTTGTGTTTAGTATACAAGACTTAACTGTGAAAGAAAGATTGTTAAGAGAAGAGAAACTTACACTGGAAAAAGCTATAAGTATGGCTAGAGCAGCCGAAGCGTCGAAGGAACAGATTAAAGTCATGAATGCTAGGGCGCAGTCGAGCGAAGCAAATCAGTCGGTAAATGTTCTTCGATATGACGCCAATCAAGGAAAAGGGCAGATAGGTAGTCGCCGTGAAAAAACAAAGTCCGAAAAGTGTGGATTCTGTGGTATGGTACACGCATTAAGATCTTGCCCGGCATTCGGCAAAACATGCAACTATTGTAAGAAGACAGGACATTTTGAGCGTGTGTGTCGAGCGAAGCAACGACAACGTGACTCTAGACCGAGAGAAGTGAATGTCTTGGGGGAATTCGAAGACGGCGAAGTTAGCGAGGATGATTTATTGACATTTTCAGTAGAGTCAAATAACGAGGGCAGCTCAAAGAATGACTGGCATGTCCAGCTTAAGTTTGAAAAAACGGATTTGAATTTCAAATTAGATACGGGGGCAGATTGTAATGTGATTTCGCAATCGTCGTTTGAGCAATTGTCACTAACAAATACAAGAATTTTCAAAAATAAGAGCAAGTTGAAGATGTTCGATGGCCGTAAGATAACTCCGAAAGGAAAAGTCAGCTTAGAGTGCGAGTATAAAGGCAAATTTACCGTTTTAGACTTTGTACTAGTTGAACAAGATCTACCATCGATTTTAGGATTAAAATCCTGTCTAGAACTCGGGTTGGTAAAGCGAGTTTATAGCTTGGAAGTGGACCCACCGAAGATCGAAATAGAATTCAGTGACGTTTTCGAAGGTCTGGGAGAGATTAAAGATGTTCAGTACCAGATTAAGATCGATCCGGTGTCCATTCCAGTGGTGCATCCTCCTCGAAGAGTTCCTATGGCCCTCCGAAAGCCACTAGAAGAAGAGTTGCGTCGAATGGAGAAGTTGGGGATTATTGAGAAAAAGAATGAACCCACCGCTTGGGTACATAGTTTAGTCATCGCCAGAAAAGCAAATAATAAAATTCGAATCTGCATGGATCCTAGCGATTTAAATAAAGTGGTTATGCGAGAGCATTTTCCTATGCAGACCGTTGAAGAAGTTGTCAGCAGAATGCCCAATGCCAAAGTGTTTAGTGTTCTTGATGCCAACCATGGTTTCTGGCAGGTGAAATTGGCCAATGAAAGCAGTAACTTAGCCACGTTTAATACTCCATTTGGAAGGTATAGTTATAAACGATTACCGTTTGGAATAGCTTCTGCTCCGGAAGTATTTCAGAGTATTATGTCGAATATGTTTTCAGATATAGAAGGAGTCGAAGTTATCGTGGACGATTTGGTGGTCTGGGGAGAAGACGTGACGAAACATGACGAACGACTTCGTTTGGTCTTAGAACGCTGTCGAGATAAAAAACCTTAAGTTGAATCCAGAGAAGTGTCGATTTCGTGTCCCCGAAGTAAGTTATGTTGGCCATGTTTTGAGTTCAGATGGACTGAAACCAGACCCCCGGAAAATTGAAGTGATTAAGGAGATGCCGCAGCCTACAAATTGCGAAGAGTTGAAGAGATTTTTGGGCATTGTTACGTATGTTGCCAAGTTCATTCCAAATATGACACAGATAACAGCTCCACTACGTCAGTTGCTGGAGAAAAATGTCGAATGGGTTTGGGATCAAGAGCAAAGACAAGCGTTTACAACTTTAAAGGCAGCGATTGTCGATCCACCAGTCCTCAAATTCTTTGATCAGAAACAATCCGTGTGCTTGTCGGTTGATGCCAGCTCGAAAGGTATGGGTGCAGTGCTTCTTCAAAATGATCGTCCAGTAGCGTATGCGTCGAAAGCGTTAACTTCATGTCAGCAGAACTACTCACAGATTGAAAAAGAAATGCTTGCAATAGTTTATGGTTGTGAGCATTTCCATCAATACCTATACGGGCAACGCGAAGTAATCGTGGAAAGTGACCATAAACCGTTAGAAGCAATACTAAAGAAATCCATCCATCAAGCTCCGCTTAGATTGCAGAGAATGATACTTAGACTTAAACCTTATGCGATTAAAGTGAAATATACGCCTGGGAGTCAGTTGTTGATAGCAGATGCTCTTTCTAGATCACAGATGTCTGCACAGATAAACGATCCATCAGATGAATTTGAAGTCAATGTTCTGGAATCGGGTTAGATGTCTGAGACTATGTTTGAGAAGTTGGTTGAGGAGACCAAGAAGGATGCTGAACTTCAGCAGTTGCACAGAGTAGTCATGGATGGTTGGCCACAGACAAAGCCTGAAACGCCCTTAGAAATTCGACCTTATTGGAGTTACAGAGATGAAATAAGCGGTTATGATGGCTTGATGTTTAAAGGAGATCGTGTAATTGTTCCACATGTTCTTAGACCAGAAATGTTGGATCGGATACATGCAGCTCATTTTGGAATCGAGAAGTGTAAAGCACGGGCGAGAGGTTCAGTGTTCTGGCCTGGAATGAATAGTGCAATTGATGAAATGGTGTCAGAATGCAGAACATGTTTACAATTTCAGCGAAGGAATCAGAGGGAGTCGTTGATGCCGCAGGAAATTCCAGAGAGGCCGTGGTCAACCGTTGCAGCGGACATATTTTATTATAAAGGAAGAGACTATTTATTGGCAGTCGATTATTTCTCGAAGTATCCTGAAGTAACAAGGATAAATCACAAGAATAGTGAAGCCGTCATCTTGGCAATGAAAGAAATGTTTGCCCGTCATGGCATTCCAGAAAAAATTATAGCTGATAATATGCCTTTCAACAGCCTTAGATTTAGAGACTTTGCTAGAGAGTGGGAAATTGATGTGGTGACAAGCAGCCCACACTATCCGCGTTCAAATGGGCTCGTGGAAAGAAACGTTCAGACAATTAAGCGTCTGTTGAAAAAATCAAATGATTCGAAACAAGATGCATTTTTAGCCTTGTTGGAGTTCCGTAATTCTCCAATTAGTGGTATGGAACAATCGCCTGCAGAACTGTTGATGAGTAGAAAATTGAGAGCTAAGTTACCAATTCCTAAGCATCTTCTTAAACCTAAGTCACAGCCAATCAACGATGTTCGCCAGAGATTGAGAGTACGTCAGTTGCGTCAGAAAGCAGCATATGATCAGGGAACGAAACAGTTATCCAGTTTACAGCCAAACGAGTCGGTGAGGATTCGACAGGGAGGCGTATGGAATCCAGCCGTGGTCGTTGAACAACATAAATCACCTCGTTCGTACATTGTGGCAACTTCAAATGGAACTCAGTTACGCAGAAATCGCCAGCATCTAATGCCAACTAACGAACCACCAATGATTATTACACCACCAATGGAACCTGTCGGCGAAGAAGAACGTTGTTCAGGTATAGCTCCGAGTACCGTACGTTCAACAGTTCGTTCTCCAGTTATATTCCCGAGTACAGAAATAGAGGAAGAACACGTACGAACACCATTGAGAAGAAGTACAAGAGTTCGAAGGGCACCTTCCCGATTGATTGAGAACATCTAGTTAAGTATAAAGGAATGTATATATATAGTATAAGATGAATTTAGTAGAATTAGGATATTTTAGAAACTTTAGTTCGGACTTGAACACCAGTTGAATTGTTTAATAGTTAAGAACTATGCATGATTGTAAAATAGCAAAAAAAAAAAAAAAAAAGAAAAGAACGGAAGATGTCACATATAGCATGACAGTTTATGTAAATTAGCATTTAGTATGATATAAAAAGACTTGTTGTTGACAAGACTGTAGGATATATATATACGGATATTAAACGTATTTTACAATATATGTATTTGCAATGCACTACTTTAGTATTTACTCTGTCTAACACAAGACAATTCTACTTGTCAATGGATTAATATTGTAATACCATGATCACCTCGATTTCAATTGTTCTGAAAGGGAATTTCCCTCATACCCGTGCATGCGCTTTTCTCTTCTAAATTTCCCCGGGCGGGGAAATTTAGTTGAATTTCTTTACAAATCTTCTAATTTTCCCCTGCATGCTTGATGAGGGAAAATTAGAAGACAAAGAAATCTTTTGTCTTTTACTAAAATTCCCGGGGAATACCTCATTACCTCTCATTGGAGAGCTGTGCGTAGGTCTCATCGAAAATCATCGGCACAACTATGGACAGTGTCTGACGACACCGTCCTGTACACATACAAACAATCACTTTGCCATTTTTTATTCCGCAATCTTGAACATTTCAATTGTGATCCAAAATTCGGTTTATAATGCGCATGCCTAAAAAGAATGAACACGGAGATGTGTTTCTGCGCGTGCATATATATGAAAAGTGTTCATCCCACGATCATAAGTCAATCAAACAGCATTCAAAACAGACCAACACACCACGCACACCCTCGGTGATCATAATATTACTAACTAATAACATATGACTAGCCAGGAAATTAGCGATTAAATTGCCCTTCGCCTTTGGAAGATTTGTGAAAGTCCTCGGACTTTCACAAATCATCCAAAGGCGAAGGGCAATTTAATTGCTAATTTCCTTCTAGTCATGTTATTACTTTTAAAAATTATTGATCCAGTGAAATGCAGTATAAAAAATTAAATTAATTTCTATCCCAGCAAATAGGATAAAATATCATATAAACGCAAACAAAATTCATCCTATTTACTGGGCTGTTTCACTAAGTAGGCCGCCTAGCTAGCTTCCACACATAAAATAGCTAGTCCTATCATATACATGTAGAAAACTGTAAATTTAAAGCAAAGTAAGTGCTGTAAGACATATACACCAATGACCGACTAAACCATTCCAAAACAGCTCTCTCTGGTTTCCATTTGGTTGTTAGCTGTTGCTACCAATAAAAAATTATTGCATACACCATACAAAGAACAAGAAAGATATAGGGCCCGTTTATATGGAAGCCGGCCTAGCACGCTTAAGCCCCATTTACACGAGCAAATTTTATTTGACAAATTTCATATGTCAAAGATATTTTGCTTGTGTAGATGATCAATTTAAATGTGACAAATTTATTGTAACAAATGCATTTGAACAAAAGCTAGTATGCTAGCTTTTGTTGAAATGCATTTGATCAAATGAAATTTGTCAAATAAAATTTGCTCGTGTAAACGGGGCTTTAGCGAGACAGCCTGGTAAGCGGGATGATTTTCTCTTGTGTTTATATGAAAAAAATAACTTGCGACAGTATCTTTTAAAAATAGCTTGCGACAACCTCGCAAGCCAGGGTCTTTTACCTGCGCTCGGGCTCCGGCGAAGACCCTGGTTCCCTCTGGTCACGTGACCTCCTAAAAATTAGGACAACAAGAGGTCCTAGGAGAGGGTGGTTGAAATGTGATGTTGTAATTTCCAACTTCCGGTTAAATGTTGTGTTTGCAAATTGCAAGGCCCGCCGAGGAGTGACTGTAGAAAAGCTACGAGAAGTGACTTCAACTGTAATATGCAAAAACATTCACAAAATGCATTATTTTTCCTATTTGTTTGCAGTTTTCTATTATAAATATTTTGTATGCAAACACTATTTTCAAGCCCAAGCATTTATTTGCTTAGAAAAGCTGTCCTTTGGCGTGTATATACTGGCAATTTTTCCAATCGGTAATATGGCGAGTCGCTAATTTACCAGCTTTTGCCTTTGATGCTTTTCGCTAAAAGACTAAAAGAGCGTTAGAAGAACGTCCAACTCATGGCGTTTGTGTAAATGAGTAATGCTGCTCGTTACTGATATATCGCCAACGCGCCTTTGATAAACAATCCAGCTCGAAAATTATGTGCGATAAAACTCAGAGTATCAGCAGCCATTAAAATGTGACAATGAAGAGATTCAGTGATTGCGATGTAGCTGAACTTGACCAAAAGACAAAACTAATTCTACATGATATTTTTCAATCATCCATTATATTGTTATCTCAATTTTGTTCACTTTATGCCAAACGTAGTATATTAATTGTGTGTTGTATTTTATAACGTACCAGTCGTTATTGCATGACTGCTACAGCATATA